CTAATGCTGGGAAAGATGGAAGGAAAAAGAAGAGACTGACTAGCAGCAAAATGGATAGACTCATATCTGCAATGGTTGCACCGCTGGAAGAACTGAAAGATCAACTTATGGATACGTCATCCTGGAGAAATTCTATGTAGTCAGTTACAGTCAAGGTCAATTTGATGGCATGTAACCATTAAATTACTGACTAAGACATTAAATTTCTGGAAAACCGAGATTTACTGCTGAAGACTAATATTATACACAAATCTGATCTGTTCTTCCTTCACCTAGAATAGAGTCGTAGATGGATTAGACTTTTTCTACAATTAGCTGCAGTTGCACAGTGAATAGAATAGAATAGAATAGAATAGAATAGAATAGAATAGAATAGAATAGAATAGAATAACAGAGTTGGAAGGGACCTTAGAGGTCTTCTAGTCCAACCCCCTGCTTAGGCAGGAAACCCTATAGCATTTCAGACAAATGGTTATCCAATCTCTTCTTAAAAACTTCCACTGTTAGAGTCTCAACAACTTTTTTACATCGTGGCGACTAAAACTGAATACAGTATTTCAAGTGTAGCCTTACTAAGACATTATAAAGTGGTATTAAAACTTCACGTGATCTTGCTTCTATCCCTCTGTTTATGCAGCTTAGAACTGTGTTGGCTTTTTTGGCAGCTGCAGCACACTACTGGCTCATATTTAAATGGTTGCCCACTAGGACTCCAAGATCCCTCTCACAGTTACTACTACTGAGCAAGGTACCACATATACTGTACCTGTGCATTTTGGTTTTTTTTGCTTAAATGTAGAACCTTACTTTTTTCACCATTGAATTTCATTTTGTTAGATAGCGCCCAATGTTCAAGTCTGTCAAGATCCTTCTGTATCTTAAGCCTATCCAGTGGTTAGAGTGCAGTTCTGCAGGCTACTTCTGCTGACTAACTGCTGCCTGCAATTTTGCAGTTCAAATCTCACCAGGCTCAAGGTTGACTCAGCCTTCCATCCTTCCGAGGTCAGTAAAATGAGGACCCAAATTGTTGGGGGCAATATGCTGACTCTGTAAACTGCTTAGAGTGGGCTGTAAAGCACTGTAAAGCAGTATATAAGCCTAAATGCTATTGCTATTCTCAGGCTATGCCCATTTCTGCTGCAAAAACATGATTGGGATATATCCCTCTCTCCATTTGCATATCTACAAAAGCCTTGCATTTCCTTAGAACATTAAATTCTTATGCATTTGACTTCTAAGGCCAAACTTCAGCCACAGGGTAGAATGAGTGAAAAAGCCATTTAAAGGTGGGCAAGGGACCATTTGCCTAGAGCTTGGAACAAGCAAAAAGAAAAGGGAAAGAAAAGGCAGATCACTGAATCAATGCCTGAAGCAATTATCTCTGCTTCTCCCAACTCTGTCTGTATGACACAAAGGCATGTAATGCAGCAATCTCACTTAAGCAAAACCAGTTTGTCATAATGTCTTTATGCAAGACCTCTCATAATATTGTTAGCTGCCTTCAATGAAGTAATTTCCAAACCTTACTGAAACTAAAACCGAGTTTCATTTATCTCACACAGTGTGTGCTGGTATTTTATTGAGCTGACAGTTATTTGCATCTTTTTTCTTTGTAATGCTATTGTCGCTCCTGAAATTCGTATTTATGACCCCGGAAGAATTAATTGTGGCTCCTAAAGAAGTAATTCATTTTTTTAAGTTGAAGAAAGTTGATGAAATTGAAGTTAGTTATTTATAGAGCCTTGGAATAAATAATAAGCTTGAATATCCTGTTCAGCAATGAAGGTTGCTTTTAAAAAAATGAAAGGAGTCTTTCTCGATCTTAAAATAAGTTTAATATTTTGTTTTGTGTATACTTGACAACTAAAGTAAGAACTATCTGCAGTTTTTTATCCGTGGGCTGTCAGACTCCTGAATGAGAAATAACATCATAACTATATAGTATGATGGACTGCAGGGCCGGCGCAATGTGTAACATGTTCACACTGGTGTAATAGGACTGGGTGTTTTGTTAATATGATTTATTGGGTTAGGGATTTTCTGTCTTCATTGTGAGTTGTATTGTGTTGGGGGGGTGCACTGAGGGAGTTCAACCAATGTCATTGTACATACTGTATGTTGTGCATTGACAATAAAGATTTTGAATTGAATTGCCTTGGTGTTAGAAATGTAATGTAGAATATTAACCTATAGATTTGTTTTCTACTACCTCATTTGGGGCTGAAAATCCATAAATTTGTCAACCTTTTGCTGCTTGTCCAGGAGATAAATAATACTCTCGGCTATCTGCCCATAGTTGGAATGTATTACCATATTAAGAACCATAGAGTCCTCCTGCACATTTTTCTACTTATTTTCCTTTTATATGTTTTTTTTTGCCAACATTTGTCTTAGGTGTTTTTTTTTTTTTCAACAGAAGGGTAAGGAAAAAGATTTTGATGAATTGTTTTGTAACTACTTTATCATATAAATTTTCAAGCCTTTTGCCTTTTTAAAAGATGTTTAATTTTTATACATATTGTCATTATTTTTTAATGAGAATCCTCATTTATAATTTATGGTGCTCTTGAGTTTCCTTTCCCCAGTGGATGAAACCTAGATGATATGGTATCTCCACCCCTATCCAAGATATTTAACAGAAGAACCAAGTCTCCCCATATCCAATTATGACTTTGCTTAGTAGTGCTAATGAGGAAGGAAGAGAATATTTTCTTCTTTTACCACAGTGATCTAAATCTATTAAATGAGAAATAGATTCTTTTCTATGCTTATTGTATGGAATTGTCTTGGCAGGAATGGAAGTCAACCCACTTCACATCCTGCTTATTCCCTAATGTAAAATCTCTGAAAATATCACTTCACCCTGTAAAATTGAAAAAAAAGCATAATCTATGTATGTAGGAAAGGGGACAAAGGGATTTTAAAACACTGTTTCTGGGTTCCAAGTGTTAGAATTGGCACAACCTCTTAGCTTCACAAAAGTTGTCACTCGAAATGTTGCCACCAAATTGCAATGTTTAATGTAATAGAGGTAGCAATTATTAAATACATGAGAAATAATATTAACATAATTCATGTACATAATTACAGAGATGTGATTACTATAATATAATACAAATTTAATTGGGTTTCTATTCTGTCCCCATTTACTCCTTTGTTCTGGAACTGTCAATTTTGGGGTGCTTGATCTCTGCCCACCCCTCCCCCCCCAAAATGAACATCCTGATGTTAAACTACAGATGGTACAGAAAAGAGCAATTAAAATAATGCATAATATTAATAAAGATTAAAATTATGAAGGAAGGCTAAATACTCTGCAGATTGGAAGAACTCTCGAAAGCCTTTTTATTTCATCACATTTGTATATGCTGCCCATCTCACATAGTGACTCACACAGTGACAATTCAGGTCCCTGCCTAGTGCAAGTAATCAAGACTTAAAACTTCCACCCTTTGGTAATAGGGATTTTTTTTAAAAGGAAAAAAAAAAACAATTTGTCTTGCAAAATTTGACTATAGCAGTGAGAGAAAGCTTTCACATAATTCTAGCACACACCAAATGAAATTAGTGACAAATTCAGGATTCAGAAGAACAAACATATAGTACAAATAGTCCTCGACTTACAACAGCTCAGTTCAAAGTTACAATGGCACTGAAAAAAGTGATTTATGACCATTTTTCACACTTACAACCGTGGCAGCATCCCTATGGTCACATGATCAAAATTTGGATGCTTGGCAACTCAAGTTATGACAGTTGCAGTGTCCTGGGGTCATGTGATCACCCTTTCCAAACTTCTTACAAGCAAAGTCACATGAGAAGCCAGATTCACTTAACAACCATATTACTAATGTAACAACTGCAGTGATTCACTTAACGACTGTGGCAAGAAAGGTCATTAAATGGGATAAAATTCACTTAACACATGTTTCACTTAGCAATAGAAAGTTTGGGCTCGGTTGTGGTCATAAATCGAGGACTATCTGTACTACAGTTATTATTGAAAGAGGAATTTATGGAGTTCATTGCCAGCAAATATAGAAACAGGCTTTTTCAGAGGTAAGATAAACATTACAGAAGAGGGGAAGGTCTAGCAACAGGATTTATCCATAATAACCAAAAGGAACTGTTAACTGTATGATCAAAGGCTTTACATGTTTGAATACCAGTTGAGAAATTGCTTATAAGAAGTCCCCAGCAAGGGATCCATTAAGTTTATTAGTGTAATATCCATAAAGACTTCGCAACAGTGTTCAAGAAGAGCAAGTGTTTGCTTGTTTTTTTCCTCCCAGCTCTGGAGAACCAGGTATTGCTATAAAAAGTTGAATTAAAAATCTTCATCGGCATTGACAGATTTGGATATATACAATATAATGTCTCTGAATATTTGCATGAATATATTAGCAACAAAATTTAGCAACCAGATTGTGTCACTGAACTCCTGCCAGCATTTTGTTCCTGTTTGAAGTTCTTCCAAACTAGTTGCGTTCTTCTGTAAACATCAAGCCAGTTTTTTTAAAAAACAGTGCATAGTCAATTCTGTGACTCTTTCAATATACAGGAGATTGACTTCTCTCAACCCTTTCTCTTGAGCTACAACTGATACGTCTATTGCAATCCACGCTCGTATTCAATGGACATCAAATGGCTAACAATTGAAAGCAACATCTCTGATGTTAGCCAGTGGGCTAGCCATGCTAAAGCTTTTATGGTAGAAAAGCTGTGGATGCAGCTGCCAGTAAATTGACTAAGATACTGCACTATTGATTAGGAACTGAGTGGGGAGCCACCTAAAGGGATCCAACCCTCTCAGAAAGCTAGGAAATTCTACTCCTGGCGAAAGAAAAGAGCTTCCTGAGGAGAATTATTCACAGAGCTACTGTGGTTTTCTACTGAAATCAGCAGCTGCAATCTTTTATGTTCAGCAGGTGTCCCTTCCAAATAGACCCGAAACAGAGAATGTTGTCTTGCTTTGACCTCCTTAATAACGGCTCACTTACTTTGAGTAGCCAGGTAAGCACGGAGTCACGATAAGGAACGAACTTGTTCTTATTTTTTCCAGCAGCTTGATCTGCCAGGGCTGAAATGACCAACCCAAGAGTTGTGAGAGACCTGCATTGGGGGAGGAAAAGATTCTTTTTAATTTTATGGTGACTAGAATCAGATAGATGCTTAAGAATAGCTGGTTCCTCTATTAATTTGCATTTTGCTTTTAGGGGTAAAATTGCTTAAGCATTAACTAACATATAAACAGAACCCAGAAAAAATAGTGCTTAATTTTTCTCTAATAATAATGTAATCTAATAATAATAATAATAATAATCTCTAATTTAATAATTTCTGAGGTCTCAAGAGAAGAGAAGAAGAAATTCCTGTTTCTTTTAAAGCAGGGGTCTCCAACCTTGGCAACTTTAAGCCTGGCGGACTTCAACTCCCAAGATTCAAAGCTGGCTGGGGAATTCTGGGAGTTGAAGTCCGCCAGGCTTAAAGTTGCCCAGGTTGGAGACCCCTGTTTTAAAGAAAACATGGAGGGAAAAGTCAAAGGAGAACTCTGCTTCTTTCTTTCCTCTTGTCATTCTGAATAAGTAAAGAACATTAGGACATATTGACTTTGGCCTTCACCCTCTCTTTAAAAACATTTAATTCCTTTAAAAGGTAAACTTTACTTGTTGATGTTGCTTCCTTCCTTCAACCTATCGCCTGCAGCTCCCGTCTTGGTTGCTCTTTCACTGCCTGCTAGGTCAACCAGGCTCAACTTGCCTACTTTCTCACCGGAGGTCTGTGGAAAGAAAATAGCATTTAGCCCAATGACATATCACTTCTTCAGCACCCCAAAATACCCTACATACTTTTTCTCAGTTTGGGGGGGAAAAGAAAGAAGGGAAAATGACAAGAAGGGGAAAAGATCTTGATGCTAAAGAAGTAGTTAAGTACAGACTGTGTCATGCTTTCATAAATGATTTATTGTATAACAAATGTGCCTATTCAAAAGAGTTTACAGAGAAGTCTCCCATGCCTTCTACAGTAAGTTGCAGCTTCCCTAATCACCAGGCCACAAGTTAACATCTAGCACAAATGAATGTGACCAACGCTGATCTAGATTTAACTGGTGGGGGAAAACAAAGGGATAAGAGAGATTAAAGGCAAAGTTAGCAAAAGATGAATCCCCCTCCACTAATAAAATAATAAAGCTTATTTTAGTTCAGAATGAGGATTAGAGGGCTGAATATTTTAAACTTGCATGTTGGTGAGTTTTAATTTTCCAAATATCGAATAACCAAAATAATTAAGAAAAAAGGCACAGGATTTCACTAGGATGTATTCAGACAATAATGTCTGCAGATTTTTGCTTATACCAGGGGATCCCCAACCCCGGGCCACAGCTCACTACCAGGCCTTGAGCTATTCAGAACCAGGCTGTGGAAGCGGTGAGCAAGGGTGCACACGCACATACCCACTTGCACAAGCAGCGGACGAGCACATGTGCGAACAGCGGGTCAGCATGTGCATGCATGTTTCATTTGCGTAAGCAGCAAGTGTGCACGCCCGTTGCTTGTGCGGAACCATTTCCTCTCTCCCTCCCCGGCTGTCCGCAAAGCTGGAAAGGTTGGGGAACTCTGGCTTATACGGAATCAATCCATTACTCAGGGATACAAGTGAGCATATCAAGCCTTTATACAGCCTTAGGTTCACAAGGGATTTTCAGACTGCATAGAAATTGGTTTATGTAATTCATGTATTGTATTTTAGCCTACTTAGACAAAGATTAAAGTTTGAAAAATGTAAGAAGTTTCTCAAATTCAGTGCAGCTGTTCCCAAAATATGTGGAGAAGTATGGTACCACCTATCCCCCAAAAATGTGCTCTTCCTATAATCGGGTTTTTGGATGTAAGGGAGTGCTTTTTAAAATGGAAACATCCTTAGTAGTGTGGCTAAAACAAGGAATATATTATCTATTATTTTTAAGCCCCAAACAACCAAAGATTGTTAGGGAGTGTTTGGATAACACTGAAACCTCCAGAAGAATCACTTTTCATACATAAATAATTTTCTCTTGGTTCATATCCCAAATAAACTGTAGAGAACAGCAACTCTCCCTAACATTATAAGATCTGAGATTGCAACCTAAAAAACATATCCCACAGTATTTTTAAAAGTCTTGGTTTTAAGTAAATAGCACTGTTGTTCCTAGAAAGGCTATACTACCTCTCATGATGAGGTTAGGGATCTGTGATCTTCACGAATCCCATCCTATCTGACCTTAGACCAAAGTGCTAGAGCTAATAAGAGTATGCGGTATGAGTAAAAGTAAGAGTATGAGCTAACAAAGATGATTAGGGGACTGGAGGCTAAAACATATGAAGAACAGTTGCAGGAACTGGGTATGTCTTGTTTAATAAAAAGAAGGGATGACATGATAGCAGTACTCCAATATCTCAGGGGCTGCCACAAAGAAGAGGGAATCAAGCTATTCTTGTCCTACCTGAGGATAGGACAAGAAGCGATGGATGGGAACTAATCAAGGAGAGAAGCAACTTAGAACTAAGGAGAAATTTCCTGACAGAACAATTAATCAGTGGAACAACTTGCCTCCAGAAGTTGTGAATGCTGGAAGTTTTTAAGAAGATGTTGGATAACCATTTGTCTGAAGTGGTGTAGGGTTTCCTGCCTAAGCAGGGGGTTGGACTAGAAGACCTCCAAGGTCCCTTCCAACTGTTATTATATTATTAAGATGAAGAACACCTAGGCAAGTAATAGATTTATTGGAATATCTTGATAAGAATAAACAGATTCCTGCAGTGCTGGTTTTTTTGGATGCAGAGAAGGCCTTTGATAGAGTGGATTGGAATTTTCTACTAAAGACTTTAAAAAAGATGGACTTTGGGGACCAATTTATACAGGCGATTTCAGCAATTTATCAAGAGCAAAAGGCACGGATTATTATTAATGGAAGTCTGACGACAGAGTTTAAAATTGAAAAAGGAACAAGACAGGGATGTCCGTTGTCCCCACTTTTATTTATTTTAACATTGGAAGTCTTGCTAAATACAATACGGGACTCTAAAATTTTGAAAGGCAGAATGATAAGGCAAGAGGATTATAGAATAAAGGCATTTGCAGATGATCTGGTTGTTACCCTATCACAACCAATGGAATCAACAATCCTGATGAAGGACATTATACAAGACTATGGTAGAGTTTCAGGTTTTAGACTGAATTCAAAAAAGACTAAAATGATAGTTAAAAATATGACACAAGATCGTAAATATGAGTTTGAAAGGAGGGCAGGTTTTGAAATTGTACCTAAGGTAAAATATCTTGGAGTTCAGGTTGCAGAATCAAACATGAAATTGTTTCAAAATAATTATGAGGTGTTGTGGCGAGAGGTTCAGAAAGACATGGAGACTTGGAAAAAGCTGCAACTGTCTTTACTTGGAAGAATAGCAGCAGTTAAGATGAACATTTTGCCAAGATTTCTGTTTTTGTTTCAAATGATTCCGGTGCTTAAAAGTGATAAACAACTGAAAGTTTGGCAGTCTGGTGTGAATAAGTTTGTCTGGAACGAGAAGAAGCCGAGAGTGAAATTGAAAATTATGCAAGATGTTCCAGAAAGAGGAGGCCTTAAACTCCCAAACCTACAGTTATATTATGATGCAGCAGCCTTAACTTTAACAAGTGATTGGTTTGGAAGTAAAAAGACTGGAATATTGAATGCAGAAAGTTTTGATCTTGAATTTGGATGGCATGCTTATTTATTTTACGACGATAAAGTAGATAAAGTATTTAAAAGTCATATACTTAGAGACTCTTTGATGAGAGTTTGGAAGAAGCACCGACTCAAATGGGATTACAAAATACCGCTATGGCTGGATCTTGGTCATACTTTGTGGAATACAAATATAATGTCACTCGGGGGGGTTTTATATAAAGAGGTTCTTTTCACAGATGCGGGCAGATGGCAGCTGAAGACATTACAGACACTGTTGGATGAAGGGTTTAATTTAACTTGGTTACAATACAATCAACTACAACTGAGATGGAAAGAGGACCAAAAAACTGGTATTATGTTGCATGAGGAAGAATTGGTTAGACATATAAGAGAGAAAGGTCCAATGCATATTAAAAGGCTTTATAATGTTTTGTTAGAAAGAGATTCAGAAACGGAATTAGTTAAAGATTGTATGATTAAGTGGGCACAGAATTTTGAAGAACCAGTGATGCTGGAAACTTGGGAAAAAATTTGGGTTCAGAATGTTAAATTTACACAATCGCAAAACCTGAGAGAAAATTTTTATAAAATGTTTTATAGATGGCATTTAGATCCTAAAAAGTTGTCATGTATGTACCCTAATGTCCAGCCAAAATGTTGGAGATGCGAATGTTTGGATGCTACGTATTATCATGTTTGGTGGACCTGTAGGAAAGTTAAGGCTTTTTGGATAAAAATTTGGTGGGTCATGCAGAATGTTTTGAGGAAAAAAATTCAATTTTCTCCACAGTTGTTTTTATTGGGTATAGTTAAGGGTTTTACACGGGGTGAAACAAAACTGATATTGTATATGATAACAGCAGCAAGATTGTTGATAGGTAAATATTGGAAGAATGAAGCTTTGCCCACTATCGAGGAATGGACTTTGAAGATGGCTAGTTTTGCAGAGATGGCGAAGATTTCAGCATATTTAAAAGATTGTTCACAAGAGACTTATGAATGGGAATGGAAAAGGTGGATAGAATATGTTCAGAACAAATACCAAACTAGAAAGTATCAAATAGCTTTTATTTGAAAATAATGTATTAGAAATATTTTAATGTAAAGAGACAAAGAGGAAAAATTATACAGGGGGAGGGATGGGTTCAAGCTTATATATCAGTGTTATTAGTTATGAGTACATAATAGGGAAGTCTGGGGGGGAGGGTTAGGGAGGGTTAGGGAGGATGGGAAGTTTGGGGAGGGGGGGGTGGGGAAAAAAAAGGGGTGAAAATGTAATTGTAAAACTTTTGCAATAAAAAAAAAGATGAAGAACACCTGAGGACCACAGGTTCCCCAGTCTCACCTAAGGTAACAAGATGTATTCTAAAAGCAAGCAAAACAGGAGTAAAATTCTGGCAAAAATATTTATTTTGATATGGTATTTATAAAACTCATTTTTTTCATTGTTTTTTTATAGATCTCTGTTATTTATCTGCACTGCAAATTGCAGAACTCACCCCTGACTTTACATCATACAATATGTGTGTGAGGATAATTTTGAAAACAGCATGGGATCGACTGCTCTCTTCATTCATGTTTGTTGCAGCAACCGTACGAGATTTATTGCCTTCAGACATCAAGGACTCTATATCCTAAATAAAAGAATCACAAAACATATTGTGTTTTAGTGAAGTTCATGCATAACTTGAGATCTGAACTAAGCCATATGGCTCATTCAACAAATCATAATTGAAACAAACTACAGCTTAATGTGATGTCTTGTCCCAGTCACTGAAGTCTCAGTTTTGTCAAGAAGTTAGAGAATGTTATGTTCAGTGAGTATAACAAGATCTTATTGCTCCACATAAATCATGGTTTTGTAATACATTTTCCCTGGTTTATACCTAAATGCTATCTGCACAGATCAGAGAATTAAAACGCTACTTCTGTTTTGTCAAAATATCTGGCTAATTAAAGTATTACTTGACAGCAAAGAAAACATTTTAGTTATCTTCGGTCATCAGGCTGTTGCTATGAGCTATAGGTTCTACCAATAAATTCTAATATTTTTCCAAAGGATTTAGGTACTTTGCATTTTGACTGGTATTGGATTTGTAAAATAAAGATTAGGGAAGTTCAAGCAACCTTGGAGACCTCATATTCTGTCACATGGAATCTCTAGTCACCCACTTCTCTTATAGGCATGGGTGCTGGTTCAGTAGAAAAACACTCTCATGTATTCTGGAATCACAGAGTTAAAAGAAATCTTAGAAATCATCTAGTCAAAGACCTCCCAAAGGTGCCTTTTCAAGAGGCAACTGGACTTTGTTTTTCCTTGAAAACATTTCACTTCTAATCCAAGAAGCTTCTTCAGTTCTGACTGGTAGGGAATGGAAGGATTTATATTCCTTGCAGTCGTCTGGTCATTAGCACTCTTTCTGAGAGTTGCTGAGGCCACTTGGAGGTTTATCTGTGCCTATTTACAGATGACAGCAAGGGAATATAAATCCTTCCATTCCCCACCATTCAGATCAGAACTGAAGAAGCTTCTTGGATGTGAAACGAAACATCTTCAAGGAAAAACAAAGTCCAATTGCCTCTTGAAAAAGCACCTTTGGAACAACCATGACCTGGATGACTGAGAATCTCCATAGACATTTAGTCAAAGACATCTTCTCCTCTCATTGAGCATTTCAATATGTTCCAAAACTATTTGTTTAGAGACCTCTAGGAGTAAGGCTTGATGATCCCCAGTTACAATTTTGCTTAGTATTTTAAGACATATTAAAATTTTCAGCTAAAATGTAGGTATTGCATCTGAACTATTTGGGTCTTGCTTACATTCAGGACATTTAATGTCCTTATTTGAATAAGAGAAATTCTCCTACTGAAACTGGGGAAGTGTAACAAAGATAAGACACAATGTATGCATGTACATAGATGCATGCTTAAGATATAGTCATTCATTAAATCTTACAACAGCTTTATATAGTAGATGAGCATTATTATTATTATTATTATTATTATTATTATTATTATTATTACTACTACTCTGTTGCAGGGTGAATTGAGAGAAACCAAGACAGATGGCTTTAGAAAGTGGTGGACTCTCCTGTATTGGAGGCTTTTAAGCAGAGGTCTCTGGAGCATAGAGCATCAAAGGCACCCATTAAATGACCTTAGAGGTCATTTTCAACTGGATGATTTTATGAGATGGCTGCGTTATGTTAGACTACTCAGCAGGTTTACTACAAAAGTCAACCAATAAAACTTACATTTTATGTAGCAAAACAAACCAGTATTCAAATTCTAAGTTACAAAGAGAATAATTTACCAGTAATCAAAATGCTATGTGCAAATTTGCCTTAAACTTACACTGAAGTTGGAGGAAGGGCTTTTGGTCTGCAACAGAGCACAAGTGGTGAACAGGAGTCGTGATTCATACTCTGTGTAATATATTTCCTTGTGTTTTTGACTTGGTTTTTTTGGCGAGTCCCAAGTTAGATTGTTGAAGGGCAAACATTCTCAGACACCTAAGGCTTTAGCTAAAGTTCTGCAAACAAGCCTACCATAATTAATTGCTAAACCAGTTTTGCAAGCTCTTTCTCTTATTTCTTTAAAGGCAAAGATAAAATCTCCTGATGACTTCATGAAAACATCCAGGTAATTTAAAGGTAAAGGTTTCCCCTGTCCAGTGATTTCCAACTCTAGGGGATGGTGCTCATCTCCATTTCTTAGCCTAGGGAGCCAGTGTTGTCCAAAGACATTTTCATGGTCATGTGGCCTGTATGACTATGCACTGAGGTACACAGAATGCTGTTATCTTCTCACCGAAGTGATATCTATTTATTTACTAGCATTTGAATGCTTTCAAACTGCTAGATGAGCAGGAGCTTGGACAAGTAACGGGAGTTCACTCCGTCACCCAGCACTTGGGTCTCGAACCTTAAAGAGTCTTTAGCCACTTGGGTCTCGAACTTTGAAGTGTTTTTAACTACTGAGTCATCCCACCCCTCCCCCCCAGGTAGTTTATTTGCCAATAATATGCAAGTGGTTTTACCACTGCCTCCTTCTCACATGTTTTTTTTCAGCTGATATTTCACATTCAAATGGTCTCCCATTCAAATATTAACCAACTCCCCCCCTTCTTAACTTTCTGAGCCAGCCAAATCAATAGGAGCTGGGTTATGAAATCAGAGCGGATGATCCTCAAGATTCCTCTTCCTCATTTTGATTTCCACTAGAATGCAACAGACTAAAATATCGTCCACTATCAACTAACATAGCAATGCTGGTTGCATACAACAGGAGTTGAATTCAGCAGATTTCTGCAGCATTACAGGGCCTTAACGCCTACAGGATTTATATGGCAGAAATGAAGATGGGGGCAAACAAATAATGTTAGTATGCCTCATTAGCTTCAGAGTTATAAACATTCCAAGGATGAGAGCTTCCTAAAGGGCAGTTCATAAGTGCAAGGACACTGCGGGTGGAAACATATTGGTTGTGCAGATACAGCAAAGATATTAAAAACAAGATAATGATATTTCAAATAACACTTTATCTTTGCTTCTGGTGATGCTGGACCTCAATTGTTAAAGCTTTGCCTTTAGGGAATCTCAATCTTAAATTACAACACTGGAGAAGTATCTTCTGTAAAAAAAAAAAATGTTCAGGTGACTTCTACTGTTAATTTTGGAAAGCCATTGCTAACCAAGCACAAGGATCACTAGGCCAGACAGATCAATCGGTCCAAGATCTGTTTAAGTGATACTCCCACTCATCAATCCTGAACAGACCATGGAGAATATGGGGAAAACATGAGGTTTTCTTTTCCCTCCCACTAACTTCATTCCTGCACTTTCCTTCCAGAAATCCTATGCAGATCCTATCCTAGTGAGGGAAATTGGTTGGGCCCTTCCTTCCAGTGATTTTGCTTGCTGAGAAATCCCAGGTTAACAGATTAGAGTTGCTACATCTTAACTGATTCACTATTATTTTCTAATGTATTGTAAGCTGTTTTGGACACATGTTCTTGTTCTACAAGAGATATATAAATAACTGGGTAATGGTAACCACTCCACTGAACATTATTCGGTAAGCCTATTATAATGGATTTCTTTACCTTGTAACTGGCAACAGCTAGTTTTGAAAGACCATCTACATAAGGTCCGTAAACACTGTGCTCTCTGACTTTTAAAGATTGACGGCTCCTGTTTGAAAGCAAACATAGAACAAGATGTTACATTTGCAGAACGTAAATGGGCAATATTGTCCATGCATTATTGTCAGTGAGGCACTTCTGAGTCATGCTGATTCACACTTGCTTAGACCTTTCTTCTTAACCTCAAATGAGGTTTCGATTTTGATTGGATTGTATCCAGCATTTAAAGATGCTTTTGGCTGACCAATTTCACTGTCCAGCTTGGGGGAACTAATTCAGTCTTCTCAAGGTGAAATTCTCAACAACGAAAATGCTATCACACAAAGATAAGAAAAAAGACAGAGGCTATCCTATTTGCATATTATCAAGATAAGAGTCAACATATTGCTCAACTATTTAAAACATTTAACAGATTTTTGAACTTCCCTGAGATGATGTTGAGATTTAAAAGCCTACTCAAATAGTTAAGATGTTTCCCTCCCTCCCAATTGCTGGGTATAGTTAACAGAAAAGGGGCAGGATGACAGATCCAATTCACGCCTGCTCAGTCTGGGCTCCATCTACCAATACGTTTTTTAAAAAAGCATGGGAGAACCTTATCATGGACCTCCCAGTTGGACCACAAATTCCATGAAATACAAGAAATCCTTTACACCTAGGATCGGCAGCAAGAATTGTCAACACTATTTTCAAAAAAAACTCAGCAGATCCTTACAAGTAAATTAGAATTTATTTTTAAAAAAGTAAATGAGTACAGAAAAAGTGTTAAGTAAACCTTGTCTGGGAATGCTAGAATCCTGTCTATTTCAGTATTGAGAACTTCAGCAAGACTTTAAGATTTTTTGGGGGATGGGAGCAGAGAACTACTTGAAGACTTGCACCCCAGCCATATAGTGAGTCATAATATAGATTCACCTAGTTGAGTTCTTGTGGTGAAGCAAGAGAGAGTGGCTCTCTTAAATTCCAATGAAGACTCTTTCAAGAGCCGTGGTGGCGCAGTGGTTAAAATGCAGTACTGCAGGCTACTTCTGCTGACCGCTGGCTACCTGAAATTTGGCAGTTCGAATCTCACCAGGCTCATGGTTGAGTCAGCCTTCCATCCTTCTGAGGTGGGTAAAATGAGGACCCAGATTGCTGGGGGTAATATGCTGAATCTGTAAACCACTTAGAGAGGACTGTAAAGCGGTATATAAGTCTAAGTGCTATTGCTATTGCTTTCCAAGCCTATATAGGGTGGCTTAGGATAAAATATAGCTCTTTCTGCATGCAAAGCATATATTTAATTACTGAGAGAAGGCCCATACCCAGAAACAAAAATTATTGGTTTTGTTCTGGAGGAATGCATGTTGACCTTGTGAGGAATGCAGAAGAACGAGACTTCCACTCCCATCAAATGATTACTGGGTTGCCTGCAATCTCGGTGTTCCCAAAAAACCTTCCTTACCCCTTTGGGTCCAGGAGATCTCTGACTTTCTCATTATAAATCTCCATGTAGGATACTTCCACCTTAAAACTCTGCTCTTCGCTCTCCTCTTGCTGGGCTCTTTCGAAGAGACTGCTACAGAGCCGAGGTATTAATCCAGGTTCATCAGCAGTGCCCATCATTGTGTAGGATTTTCCAGATCCTGCATAAAAGAGAAAGAAAATGTTTTTTAAGAAATTAAAAATGACGGGAAAGCCCATGAAGTCTTACTGAGGACTTTTATAAATAAATCTACATTTTATTTTATTATTAGTGATGAAAAGATGAAGCAAAATTATTATTCTGAATTAATGGGAAAAAGTTCCTTTACAAATATTACAGCACTACAGGCAGACATTTCATGCCCTATAGAGCGTAAATAAATGGCTATGGTTCTATAAACCAAGTCTGATTGAATTTATGGACTGAGCTGGATAAATAAATTACTATAACTATCTTATTTTCTCTGATCACATGGAAAAAATTTTGTAAATATACAAAACTGGTTTGTCAAATTGTCAATAGGTGAGTTGGAGCACTGTAGCTGTCTCCTTGTGCTGTTAGTTCAAGGTCAGTCATACCACTGTCAGGAGATGCTTATCTGCTTAATGTGGAAAAGAATCAAGTGGTAGATAAATAAGGGTTGTATCTGGTTGCATCCCTACATAACCAATATTATCCCGGATCTCTAGCTCTTTTGTTTGCTATATAAGTTATACAAAATATATCAAGGAAAGTCAAGAATAGGAAACTGCTGTCCTCAATCCGTGACTACCATAAATATTCTATCACTATTTATTATTCTGTGCCCAATAGTAGCCAGTATCTTCAGTGGCTAATGGGAAAGCAAAAATACAAGCTGTTTCCCCCCCCCCCATCACCTCCCCCCTTCTCTACTTTCTCCTCCCCCCCCCCCTCATTCTTCTATTTCTCTTAACCTTACTGTTTTTCATATTACCTTTACCAAGCTGAAGCCTTGAGGAGTACAGTCAAAATTAATATTTCTGTTTAAAAATGTCAATAAAACATCTGGCTCCTAATTATAAGCCTCCATAGTCGGTTTCATTCATTTAGCATTTTAAGGAGGAGTCAACATTTCTGCAGCTGGTCTCTGAAAGTGGTTGTGGCTGGTAATAATATCTAAATAGGTAAGATCAAATTTTCAGCTTTCTTCTGGTAGGTGGGGTTAAGCAGCAAAACTGATGCCTGAAGCCTTGTAGACATGGAAATACTTTCCTACTTAACTAGCCCCTCAATTTGATCCAAAAAGATTTGGATTTTATTAATGAGAATTCTATTTTAGTTCTTTAAATCCTTCCCAAACTCTAACGTTTTGGTCTTGCTATTTTTTGGAGTATACTAAGGGCTGGGGGAAAAAGTATGTAGGTTGGCTATCTTTGCTTTAAATTATGGCAAATTGACAGAATGTTGTGGGATAACTTTAAGAAATATAACTACTTTGTTCTTCAATGTGTCCAAAAAGCTAAATTCTGAATCAGTCTATCTAAAGCAGAGGTGGGGAATGATAACCCCTTTATGACTTGTAGTCTTAACTCCCAGAATTCTGGGAGTTGAAGTCCACAAGTCATAAAAGAGCCATTATTCCCCACCCCTGATCTAAAGGATAGTTTATTCCTCATATAATCTGCTTGTTTTGATTGTTAACTGCTCTGTGGTTGATTCAAGTTTTGTAGCTGAATATGCTGGACTAGGACTTCTTACCTGGATTTCCCAAACTCCCTCCTTTCACCTCCAACCCAATCATTCTAATATTAAGCCACTATATGTGAGTTGTGCAGCTACAAAACTAGGTTAAATAAATAAATTGGTTTTTTCTTTTTCAATTGGCTTTTGGTATTGCATACTTTCCTCTAATGAAAGCTAGTTTGGTGTAATGTTTAAAGGCAGCAGACTAGAAATGGGGAATCTGAGTTCTAGCCAGGGAACCAGGGTAGAGTTCAAAAGTACTACAAGTTTATTTCATACTACCTATATGCAAGAATCTGAACGGTCAAGGCAAATTGGCACCAGATAAGCGTCAATGCACTTCAAGGATGTGGGCTAGATATAGGTCTCTTATTGGGGCATAGAGATTCCAAAGACATGATGCATTTGACTCTGTCGTTGGGCTCAACTTAGTCATCACCTACAAAAACTAGCTGAGTGATTTTGAGTGCTAGGACGAAGAAGAGAACTATTTTGGCTACTTCTAAAATAGTTGTCAAGAAAAAACTACCAGGAATCAGGGTTGATTCAAGGAGCCACTGCAACAGTTGTATCTATTGATATTACACCAGGTCTGTTTTTCTGTTTCTCTTTTTATTGCAGTTCAGATGTGCATTATATTACTTAAGGCTATCAAAAAAAAATTTTTTTTTAATTGGGCTATATTGACAGCCTGAAATGAAGGCAATGTGAATATGAGCCATTCAAGACAGATAAGGGAGGAAATAGGATAATCATTCTATTGTAGTGAAAAACACATAAGAAATCAAAACCAGCATCTGAAATTGAAGGAACTATGAATAATTAAATTATGACTTATTTCTTTTAATTTGATGTGTTGCTTGATACTGTTCCTAATTTGTTAAAAACTAACACATTTCCTCCTGTCCTTCAATGTCCACCTTGCTAATGCTTACCGGTCTGTCCATAGGCAAAAATACATGCATTGTAACCTTCAAAGGCATTCTGGAGAATGTTCTCACCAAGGCACTTGAAAACAACATCTTGACCTAAAATTAGAACAAAAAGATTCAAATTATGGGGGGGAGGAAGAATTAAAAAAAAAAAAAACCTTTGTTAAAACTCTCAAAAGCTTCAAACACTTATAATGTGTGAAAACATTTTATGCTTTTCATGTGCGTCCAAAATCAATGGAGCCACCCACAATGGAAAGCACAGAGCAGATACTCATTTTAACTACACCAAGGTATCCAGTAACTTCCTTTGGAGTTGCTATGTATTTAACCAGCACCGGATGAATCATTTTGAAGCATATCTTATGAAAAAAAAAACCTCTGACCTCAAGAAAACCAGAACCATTATTTTTATTGCTATTTGAATTCAAGGCAACCCTGCCCCCCAAGAACCTTATGTATAGGGTTATTCGGTTTTATATTCACAACCATTTTGTGCAATTCATTTGGGTAAGAAATTGATGACCTCCATAAATTAAACAGGAATCTGAACCCATCCTATCCCTGCTTTTGAGTCTTTATGGTTAATTGATTCAATCTCAGCCCACAGGATTAGGCTAAAATGAGACTGAATAATTTGGAATTCAGAATATTATGGGAATCCAGATCATGATGTTAAATCATGACATATATTTTTAGGCATAAGATATTACAAACATGCAACAACTGTGCTTTGTTAACTTGAATTTAGGATTTAACATGCTTTCTAAATCTAACAATAACATCTGATCCCAATCTGTCCTTTGTAAGGTCCAGGATGTGGATATATAAAGACTACATCTTCTTCTTCTTCTTCTGTTTTGTTTGGATTGTTCCTTGCTTTTGTTCTCCTTTGTATGATAATAATACAAAAAAATCTTTTGTTCTCTTTTGTATGATAATAATTCAAAAGTAACGTGGTATCTTCTAACTGCTGTGCTTTATAATAGAGGGAAATCACAATTTACAGCTTTTCAGAAATAGGATTGAGAGTCTTTTGGGGAAGGGAGGAAGACCTGATGCTAGTCCTAAAAATTATTTATTTTCTTCTTCTAGAAATGTGTTGGCAATGAGGAAGCTCTCTTAAGTTCTGGAGACGACCTTTAAATCTTCTAACTCATTTGACAAATGATTGCTAGAGCCATGCCAATTTTCCTCCCACCAGAGTTGTTCATTGTTACAATGATACCTGCATATTTTTCTTTGTTAGTTTCATCCATAGACCAGAAGCAGTGATCATAGGCAAACACCTGCAGAGATATAAACAAGAAATGCATTATAAACATAAATGTTTATATTTATGGCGCAGTGGTTCGAATGCAGTACTGCAGGCTACTTCTTCTGACTGCCAGCTGCCTGCAATTTGGCAGATCGAATCTCACCAGGCTCAAAGTTGACTCAGCCTTCCATCCTTCCGAGATGGGTTAAATGATCCAGATTGTTGGGGGCAATATGCTGACTATGTAAAACCGCTTAGAGAGGGCCGTAAAAACACTGTGAAGCGGTATATAAGTCTAAGTGCTATTGCTATTGCTATTCTTCAATTGCAGAATAAAAATAAACTACTTGGAAATAAAAATTACAATCTAAGTCTTTGCAAAGGTGAGAAAATGACTCTAAAACCAAAATACAAAAAAAAAAACAAAAAAAAAAACCCAACCTAGCACTCTTTTACCAATAACCCTCAATCCTCAGTATGTGCTACTGGTTTCCAACTTGTTCTTCTGACTCATGAATCGGCTGCCAATGTGGATTGTTTTAAAGAGAGAGAGAGAAAGAAGGAAAAGCCGTTTCAAATGTTTTCCCCTTCCTCTTATAATAGTACTGAATACATCTAGAAAGAAGGTAGAAAATATTTTGGCAAAGAATTGAACACGATGCTGCACAGTATTATAAAAATCTTTTACCTTTGGTTGGCTCCTTCAGTTCCATGAGGAAACACAACAGGACATAACAGGAGAAGAGAGGGGAAAGAAAAGAAATTAATTAACATGTACATATTTTAAGTTCAAAGGAAATAGTAACTTTCAAATACATTAATCAACATTAGCTCAAGAAAACCCACATATGCAATGTTTTCTCTTTAAGTTTTGGAGAACTGTGAAAAATAACCTGACTGGCTTTGAATACATGAACTTTCTTTAGAAGTGAATACAAGCATAACAAGGGCAACAAACAAATACATTTTGAAAGAAGGAATCCAAAATTTCCCACAAGATCAACACAGTGCTCTTATTATTATCACTATATCTTAAACAGTAACAGTTAAGTGTTTTCTCCAGTTTAATGCCCTTCAGATATGTTGGAACTTAATTCCAACAATTCTGCTTACAGCTTCAAGAGGGCGCATATCAATATATTGTATTAAATAAATAATAATAACTCCCAGCTATTGTTAGCTATATGCCCAACATATTTAGTGGATGAAGATAGGAGAAAACTGCATTCATAGATTGAATGAGATAGCATCTTTGGGTGATTTAAAATTGTGGTTTGTAAGTGTAATATTGATAACATGAATGCTTCAGTTTACATTGGGCTTTTGTTTAAGGAGGGTGATTTAAAGACTCTTGTCTGAATCACATGCCACATCATAGTTTGAAGTAACAAAACTGATCCAAGGAAAGTCCTGATTTCATTTACTCTTCTTAAGTGTGGGAAGAATCTGAAAGCTCCACATGACATCAAGTTTGCTAAGTAGGATTTGCTTAATCCTACTAACAATCAACAATGTGCAAACTAGATGATAATGCTAGTTATATTTGTTATATTTGTGCCTGGAGGCGATGCGGATCTGGATGGGGAGGAACAGGCTCAGGCTCAACCCATCCAAGACCGAGTGGCTGTGGTTTCCGATGTCCCGATATAGTCAGTTGGTGCCATCACTGACTATTGGGGGCGAATCATTGGCCCCCACGGAGAGGGCGTGCAACTTGGGCGTCCTCCTGGATTCACGGCTGTCTTTAGAAGAGCACTTGACGGCCGTGACCGGGAGGATTTTTCATCAGGTTCACCTGATTCGCCAGTTGCGTCCCTTTCTGGATCAGGACTCCTTACGCACAGTCACTCATGCCCTCGTCACCTCCCGCCTGGACTACTGTAATGCTCTCTACATGGGGCTCCCCTTGAGGAGCACCCGGAGGTTCCAACTGGCACAGAGTGCGGCCGTGCGGGTGATAATGGGAGCGACTTGGCGTTCCCATGTAACACCCCTCCTGCGCGAGCTGCACTGGCTCCCGGTGGTCTTCCGGGTGCGCTTCAAGGTTTTGGTTACCACCTTTAAAGCGCTCCATGGCTCAGGACCTGGGTACTTGCGGGACCGCCTACTACCACCAATAGCCTCCCACCGGCCGGTACGCTCCCATAGAGAGGGGCTCCTCCGGGTGCCATCGGCCAAACAATGCTGACTGGCGGCCCCCAGGGGGAGAGCCTTCTCTGTGGGGGCACCTACTATCTGGAACGAGCTCCCCCCGGAGATACGGAGGATCCTGGATCTGTGCACCTTCCGCCGCGCTCTAAAGACCTTTTTATTTCACCAGGCGGGCCTGGCCTAATTTTCTCCCTCTTTTATAAAAGAATTTTTAATTTTTAATATTTTTTAGTATTTTATATATTCAAATTTTAAAATTGGTTTTAAATTGATTGGGGTTTTAATTTGTCTGGGCCAAAACTATTTAATTTGATTTTAATTCTGCTTTTAAATTTTGTATGTATGGATTTTATTGTTGGCTGTTCACCGCCCTGAGTCCTTCGGGAGTAGGGCGGTATAGAAATCAAATTAAATAAATAAATAAATAAATAAATAAACAAATAAATAAATAAATATTTATATGAATCTGGTATCATAGATTGTCATTGCTCCAACATTTATCCTCTCCCCCCCCGCCCTTTGATATAATTGCTGGCCATCCTTATCTTTGACACAACTCACAGAAATTCAAATGCAATACTCAGTTTATATTGGCTGTAGAAACTGAGAAATATGAACAGGCAAGACAGAGAAACTAGCAATGAAATGAATTATCTAGTGTAAGAGAATACCTCTTACATTTTACTCTTCCCTCACCCCACTATGAGGAGGAACAGGAGGAAAACAGATTCTCCTTTTCTGGTCATTTTTGTTTCAGTAGAAAAGAGACATTTGCCTCCTACTGGGTGATACTAGTCCTGTCTCATCATCTAAAGTTATCCTTAACCACTCCTGATCCTTTCATATTGCCCATCACATTAAGCACCTTTCTTCTCCACAAAAAGCAGTCAGCTTTCTATGCTTACTGAGCATTACTACTTGAAATAGTCTTCCCAGCCCTAATTCATGTAAGAATTATTTTTTTTTGTACTTGGACAAACTGGAATTCTATGGCCATACCCATACATCTTTTATATAGATGGAAAAGCTGCCTGAGAAAGAATTTTCCATTAGTTTACAGGATGGCTTAATTAAGACATGTGGCTAAATTTTACACCTCCAAATCAATATATATGAATAAACTGTATGGAAGTCACTCAAAAGTCCAGGCTCTAAAACTACTGAGACATGTTGTCAAGTGTCTGTACAATTATATACTGGGTTCCTTCAATTTAGCTGTTCATAGTCATCTAATAGAATACTTTAAACTAATTTCAATTTCTTTATCAGATCTCTGCCAAAAGATTTATAGCAGAGTTACCTTTTTGCCATTCCATCAACAGCACAGCAAAGTAACTGCTTAAAGCTCTACCCAATTGAATTAGCCCTAGCAAAATGGAAGTAAGGTAGAAGGGTGAGATGAGCCTGGCAGTGTTTATAAAACCTGGACCTAGAAGTGGAAAAATGTCAGATGACTTTTTTCAGTTAATGGATTGAATGAGGTTTTCTGATATGATCTAGCCACATATAGTGTAGAGCTTGAAGTTGGTGCACAAATTGATCCACTGAACTTTATGTTTATTTCAGGAGTGCAAGGAAAGTATAAATTTCAGTTATTATATCTAAGTCGTTTTAAAAAGTGCACAAAGCCATAATGACATTTAGACCCACCTACATACCAAAAAAAGATTGATGTTATTACTTTGGTCTTACATTGGTGATGCCCCTCCCATGTTCTCCCTGGATTACAAACAGCAGTAAAATATAAGTCCAGTAAAAATATTATTTCTTGTACAAGGTTATTTTAAACAGGGGTTTATACTTTATACATAAGCAGTTCAAAAGGCTACTGTCAACTAACCATTGTATTCTTTCTACATCAATGAGAACACAGTTTTAATTAAGTTTATTTTTAGAACAAGAAACAAAAGGCTTCAACTGAAAGCACAATTCTCATCCAACTAAGAGAAATAGTGGATACAGCCCTGTAATACCAACCATAACATGGGCATACATGCATATAAGTTCACATTTTTTCATACATGTTTTTTTTTTAAAAAAAGAACATACTAAATAAAATATCTATAAAAGCAAATTTAGGTAAATATTCTGGGATTTATTTTCTCAGACAACCCATTCTTATCTTCAAAATGCCCTGTAGAATTTAAAATTACAAAATCCAATTGGTACAGCAAGTGATACTCAAATAATTTTCCATCAAAAAACCGAACAGATTTCCTCAGGCGTGCCACGAAGCCTTAAAATCACAGACTGAGCCTAAATTTAATGCATGATAGAAAACACAATGAAGTTTACAGCCCCAAACAGTACATCCTTGCCATAAACAAAGCCCCAAATCACAAAGAATTGAACAGCAGCAGTGTTTCAGGGCTTCCAGATAAAAAGAAAAAAGAAAAGCACCACTCATATACAGACATGAAAGCCAGCCAATATATGGCTCTTCCTTTAATGGTAACAGCTGGCGAAAGAGATCCCTTCTTGGGAATTAGTTTCATATGATTTAGAATGGAGAAATATATATTTGTGGGACATCAAGATTATAACTTTTTCTGCTTCTGTTGACCTTATCCCTTCCCCTCCCATGTGTGTATCTGTGCGTGTCTGTGTGTATGTCCGGCTAAGAACTAAAATGTAAAATATTTTACATTCTGATATATAACAATATTAATCTTAAATAATAAAATGGAGTCTTTCTGTTTTTAAAAACGCCCTTGGAGAACTCAGAATAAGTTGTTTTTATTTGATGTTCATTCACTTCATCTGTCTAAAAATATGCAAATTTAATTTTTTGCTTCTCATTTTATTATAGAAAAACGTATTGCTTGGTTAATCTTGGGCAGTTATAAGAAACCAATATACTTGGCTTCTTAAAAATGCTTTAAAAACCACAACAGATTGCAGTGGCAATAACAATCAGTGAGCCAGTATGGGCAAGTGTCTGAGCTGAATAAAAACAAAGGATCAAACAGAAGGGAGAAGCAGTCGAAATTATAACTAACATCTATTCTTTCTCATTTATTCATTAGCTCTCCCATCAGAATTTTCAATATTTTTAGCTGTCCAACTGAATCCTTAGATTAGTAAGGTTTCTTATTCTATTATATTAGTAGACTCGCATCTGGCCAATATCTCTTGGCTGGGGCAATTCAGGTCATTTGATTTGAATCCCCAAGAAAGGGACCCAGCAGGAACTATTTGAAAGTATTTATTAGCTTTGTCAGTGATAAAGTTGGACTTCGTCTGGCTTAGATAGTAAATATTGAAAATCTGCAAAAGATGTCCACCTAATGAAATAGACCAGACGGGAAACAAGACCAAATGAACTGATTCTACTTTATTATAAATTACATTAACAGAATCTTGCAACTTGAAAGTACTTCCCCCTCTCCCCGGCCTAGGGGTCTCTTTTATATTCCTCAAATTAGGGAGAGTCTCTTTTAAGCCTCTTGCCCCACCCACATTTCTGCTACAGGATGCCTTTATCTGACAGTCACTTTGGTTGTGTCTCATTGCCTTGTCTCCCAAAGTCATTCCCTCCTATTGGAAAGCT